AGCCAGCCACCAGGTCAGACATGCTGAATCTTTCCCGGTAAGCCACCACCTCATGGTGCTACACAGATTATTAGAAATGGGTTAATCAGGATGTGAGAGTTAGCCAATAAGAGGCTAGAACTAACGGGACAGGCAGTGTTTAAATGAATACAGTTTGTGTGTTGTTATTTCGGGTCATAAGCTAGCCAGACGGCTGGGAGCTGGGTGGCAGGAAGCTGCTCGCCTCATCACTACAGAGTGGTGCCCAACATGATGGACTAAATCCACTTAAAAACCTGAGAGGGCTTAAAAAGGCGAGAGAGAGAGAGAGAGAGAGAGAGAGAGAGAGAGAGAGAGAGAGAGAGATATTAACACAGCTTTTTGCTGTTTGTTGGCAGTGTGCCACAGAGAAATTTCCCTGACTCAGCAGCCATAGCAGGAAAAAAGCTGTGTTAAACTGGTTAATTCTAACTACTGGTCAACCATGCCCATCACTTGGCGCCCAATTTGGGACTCTTAATCCCAGGGTCGTGGTTCGAGCCCCACATTGGGCGCCAAGTGATGGGCATGGTCGAAGGGTAGTTAGAATTAACCAGACCAGCTCAAAAACAATGAATATAATTTAATAATTGGAAACGGAGAAACTCACACGACCGGGGTTTAGCGAGCACCACGTGCAACCGAGAGAGGCAAAACAAGGGGAGGGCACCTGGATTCCCAGGTCCTTCTTCCCTGGCCCCAGGTGGCCAAACCCTAGCCAAATGTGATTGGCTGCGCTTCCCCCATTATTCTGGTACCATGAGAAGTAGTCCTCAGGGACAAGGCTTTCAGATCAGATCCAGCTTAGGTCTTCTGCGTCCTGTGTCCAAAGTGTGTGATACGTTCAGCAAAAGGAACTTCGCTCTGAAGAACAGTAGGAGTAGCCTATAATGTTTTTGGAATCCCTTATATAACCATGACCAACAATTCAAATGTTTGTTTATGTTGTTCTCTACAGACACATAATGCAAATGGTCTTTTTGTAGTCACAGTCCAATTAAAAGATTAAAGCTGGCTTTGGAGTTGGAGTGTGGCTCTCCTCTAAATCCAAGCATGCTTCTTAAAGTGAAATGCAAAACCTCTGTCTCATGTCAGAAGAGCCACATGATATGGGGCATCGATCACTATATGTACTATGTGGTGTGTATCTATGTGTGTTTTTTTTTAAATATTTATTTATTTATTTATTTATTTATTTATTTATTTATTTATTATGTATACAATATTCTGTCTGTGCGTGTGCCTGTAAGCCAGAAGGGGGCGCCAGGTCNTTTATTATGTATACAATATTCTGTCTGTGTGTATGCCTACAGGCCAGAAGAGGGCACCAGACCCCATTACAGATGGTTGTGAGCCACCATGTGGTTGCTGGGAATTGAACTCAGGACCTTTGGAAGAGCAGGCAATGCTCTTAACCACTGAGCCATCTCTCCAGCCCTCTATGTGTGTTTATGTGTACTCAAGTGCTTGTTGAGGCCAGAGGTGTCCTGAAGCTGGAGTTGCAGGAAGGTTTGAGCCACTCAACATGGTGCTAGGAACTGACTTTAAGTCCTCCATCAGAACAGTGTGTGCTCTTAACCTCTGACTCACTTGACATCCCTGATTATTTATTACTGCTCCATTCTCACTGCTTGTTACAGGTCTCTTTAAAATTACCTTATCTTGGTTTTATTTTAGTAAGTCACGTATTTAGATATTCTCTATTTCTTTTAGAATTTTCATTTTTGTAGAATATACATTTCTAATATATGTCATAAAGATTTTTAAATTTCTTAGTATGTATTATAATGGCTTCCTCTTTAATCTTACTAAATTGAATCTTTATTTAAAATGATATATTTCTTTTTATTTTATGTCCTGGAATGCACTGTATAGACCAGGCTGGCCTCAGACTTACAGAGATTCACCTGCTTTTGTCTGCTGGATAAGATTAAAGGCATGTACCATCATGGTTGGCACTTTCTGGTTTTTTTTCTCTTCTTTTTTCTTACTTTGTTTTTTCAAGACAGGGTTTCTCTGTGTAGCCCTGGCTGTCCTGTAACACTCTAAGTAGACCAGAGTGGCCTTGAACTCACAGAGGTCCACCTGCCTCTGCCTTCCAAGTGCTGGGATTAAAGGTGTGTGCCACCTTGCCCAGCTTCAGCATGCTTTATTAATGTAGGTCCGTACAGATAAAAACTTTCCCCTTAGGATTACTTTTTTTTTTGTATCTCATCATTTTTGATATGTTGTGTTTTTATTTACATTCAGTTTTAGAAATTTAAAAAATTCTTTTTGATTATTTTCAGTCACCCATTCATCATTTAATATTATTCAGTCTCCATGTGTTTGTATATGTTCTATTGTCTATCTTGCTATTAGGACAATTTTATTTTGTTGTGACCAGATGTAATAAACAGAATTATTTCACTTTTCTTATATTTCTTAAGACATTCTTGGTGTTTTAATATGTGATCTTTATTTAGAGAAAGTTTTGAGGGCTGTAAAGAGGAATATGTATTATGCAATGTTTGGATGAATTAATTTAATGACTCATGGTGGAGGTCAGAAGACGTGACTTGTGGCAATCACTTACTTCCTAACTCCAAACTCAGGTTATCAGGCCAAGGGTGAAATATTCTGTTCATGTCTGTTAAATCCATTTGGTTTACGATGTAATTTTTTTTTTACGATGTAATTTTATCCAAATGTTTCTTTTGTTCATTTTTTGCTGGGATGATCTGTTAATTGTTTCAAGTCATGCATTGAAGTCAGCTATTGTAACTGTGCTGGGTTAGTTTGACCTTACCTCTTGTAGTAATTGATTTATGAATTGAGTACACTTGTGTTTGATGCTTAGATTTGTAATGTTTGTGTCCTGGTCTATAGAGGGAGATTTCCAGGACAGCCAGGACTAAAAAGGGAAGCACTGTCTTGAAAAACAAAAGCAAAAATAACAGCAACAAAGCCTCATGACACTCTTTTAGGTCATTAATAACTTACCTTGATTCATTCACAAAGGAGATAATGTTTTGTCCTCAGTCTCACTAGGCTGATGTTTGTTACGAAGCAGCTTAGTTCTAATTTGAATTGAATTTTTATATTTTTCTGTGACTTGTGATTCTAGCTCCCTAAGCATTACTCATGGCCAGCACTGAGGAAAGTATTTAGTTTTAAAATGCTTCTGTTTATATGTTAATAGTCTGAGCAGTTGAATGCACCAAGACTCACTCTCCTCTTTATGTGTAATGCTGAAACACCCATGGAAAGTTTATTTCCTCTGTAAAAGGAAAGATTTGAACTCTGATGATTTTTGTAGGTGACTTTTTTGTTGTTGTTTTGGTGTGATGTGGTTGAGTTGACTGTGACTACAACTTACACCCCCAACCAGTTGTTAATTGACATTTTAAAAAATGTCAATGTCTGTGTGTGTGCACGCGCGGATACATGCGTACATACCATAGTATGCATGTAGAGGCCAGAGGGCAGTTTATGGAAGTAGCTCTATCTATGAGTTCCAGGCTTTGAGTTCAGGTTATCAGGCTTAAATAATTGTCAGGCCATCTAACTAGTCCAATTGACAGTGTTTCTTTTCTTTTCTTTTTCTTTTTCTTTTTTTTTTTTTTTTTTGAAACAGGATTTCTTTGTGTTACAGTCCTGACCGTCCTTTGTCACTTTGTAGACCAGGCTGGCCTCCAACTCACTGAGATCTTCCTGTCTCTGCCTCCCAAGTACTGGGATTAAAGGCATGTGCCACCACCACCCAGCAGTATTTTTTGTTTAAATACTCTGTTTTAATTATATAGTTTTTAATTATTTAATTTCTGTTTTTATAGTTTTTATGATGGTTACTCTAGTGATTGTGATTTACATTGGGCCAGGAACTAACTATATTTTATTAGGTTCTATGCACATCCATTTTACTGTGGTTTTTGTTAGTTCAGTTCATTTAAGTTATTTTTTTTTTTTATCCTTTCCTCCTTTTAAAAACCAAATGAAGTTTCAAACACCAGCAGGACAATTTGGAGTGTATAGCCAACTCTACTAATACTACCAAAGTGTCTGAAGTTTAGTAGTTCACATAGGCACCAAAATGGCAGGTCACTTAAAACATGTGATACTCACTGGAAACTTATTGCGTGAAGGAGTTGAAAGTAAGCTTGTCAGTCATTGTATTTCTTAATGCCCTTCTTGACCAGGAACCTTAATCTAGTCTACTACTATGCAGTAAAGTTTTTCCATGAGAATATAAATGTATACCTATACTGTATAATATAAAGCTACTGTACTTTTTGTTTACTTTTTATTCATTTAAATAGCTACATGTGGCTCTTAGATCATCAGAGAACAGGTTTAGATTCTTTAGCTTTCTCTTTTATATGTGAAACTTTCTTAGAATTTTTGGTGCATCTTTCAACTCCCAAGTTTGTCATAAGTGTAAGCTTCTGAGAGGGTCCTCGCTGGTCACAGCAGGAGAGAGAAGGTTGGAAGAAAATGGTGTATAAAATGACGTTGGAGCCCAGCACAAGCCAATGAGCAAATAGCTTGCTAAAGTTACAAGGCAGCTGAGTGTTCAGTGAAGGGAAGAAACTATTCCACAGATTTTATGCAGGTAGAGTTTAATGTAGGAAGTTAGGTATACATTACTGATGACACCTACCATGGTTTGCTTGAGTCTGAAGAGAAGCCTGTTTGAAGCTCCTGCATCCACATCATGTTGGAATGAGAAACTTTTGCCACTGCTTTCCACTGCTGCTGCTGAAGGTGGTAGTTCAGAGATGATGCAATTTAGGTCATTCTCCTTCCAGCCTTTGGCAAGCCAAAGAGACTTAAACAAGGGAACTTTATTAAAAACACAAATTGATAAATGAAAATGTAGAATATCTTTTTTTTGAAAAAATATAGAAACTGAGAAAACTAAATTGTATTAACTGTGACACAAACATTGAGTATATTGTATTGTATTCATATAAAAATAATGCTTGTATATCTGTTCTTTGCAGATCCAGGATGAGAAGACTGATAGAAGAAGCAGCTAGCTGAACAGCTATAAAATGCCCAAATCTGGGTTCACAAAACCAGTTCAGAGTGAAAATTCTGACAGTGACAGCAATATGGTAGAGAGACCATATGGAAGAAAGGTACCAGGCAGCTAGACTTTCTTTACTCTTTGAAACCTGGATAAAAGATTCCCAATGTAGTATTTTTAGTAATTACTCAAAAAAATGTAACATGGATATTAAATGTGTGGGTATATGCACATGTGAATACAAGTACCCTCGGAGTCAAGGAGTGGCAGTCCAGTCTCCTGGAGCTGAAGGTACCAGCAGTTATGAGCCAACCAGTGTGGGCGCTAGGAACCAAACCCAGGTCCTCACCAAGAGCAGTGCCTGCCCTTAGCCACTAGACCATCTTTCCAGCCCTAGAGTTTCTCTAAAAAGGAACTCTCTTTGCACTGTCTGGGTTAATCATGTTTTGCTAAAACATGATTTTTTAAAAAAAGATTTAAATTTTTTATTTATGTAAATGTATGCCACATGTGTCTGCGTGTCCTTGGAGGCCAGAAAAGGGTGCCAGGTAGCCTGGAGTTGGAAGTACAGGCAATTACAAGTGGTCACATGTCAGTTTTAGGAATTAAACTTGAGTCTTCTGGAAGCGCAGTAGTACATGCTTGTTAACTGCTGAGCTGTTATTCCAGCCCCAGAATGTTATTTTCTAATGACATTGAATTTGATTTGACAATTTTAAAATTTTTATATTTCCTCAATCTGTAATTTTCTGTCTAGGACTTTTTTAAATATTAGATTTCTTTATTTTAGACCTGGGTTGGATAGATTGTAATTTTATTTTTATGTTTACTGTATTGTTTGTATAGAACAGGCAATACCTGTTCTTTGAATTATCTTGTTAAAGTTCTTGTAAAATCATGAAAGGGTACCATTTTTTTTCTTCTATTTGTTACTATTTGTTATCACAGCATATAGGTGTGGAGGTCAGAGGACAATGTGTGGAATTAGTTCTCTTCCTTCTACCATGAGTGTCCTAAGGGTCACACTTAGGTCACCAGCCTCAGTCATAAGCTCATTTACTGCTGAAAAGTCTTGTCAGCCCCTATACACCTTTGTCAACAAATCTAACCATAGGACGTTTTGTTTTGTTTTGTTTTTCAAGACAGGATTTCTCTGCGTATCTATGGTTGTCTTGAAACTTGCTTTGTTACCAGGCTGGCCTTGAATTCATAGAGATCCTCCTGTCTTTGCCTCTCTAGTGCTAGGATTAAAGATGTGCGCCACAACTGCACCTCTGTGGTCAAGATATATTCAGATTTTCTTTTCTTTTCATTACCCTTTTTTTGTTACTTTTTTTTTTTCTCGAAACAGAGTCTTTATGTTGAAAAACGCATGTAGACCAAACTGGCCTGGAACTCAGAAATCCACCTGCCAAGTACTAGGATTAAAGGCATATGCCACGGTGTACGCTCAGTTTCATTACTCCTTTTTAGTGATGCATATTTTCTAGGAAAATTATAATATACATATACATATATATAGGCTTTAAGGTTTTTATTGATGTAAATTAGAAATAATTATCTGTTTTATTTTTTATTTATTTTTATTATTCTCTTGACTAACATTTAAGCTCAGTTCCAGTGATTATCATTTTCTTGCCTCTCTTTCTGGCTTTTCTCCTCTTCCCTCTCCTCTCTTTACCTCCCCCCCCCCCTCCCCGCCTTCTCCTTGCCTTCCTTTCTCTTCTTTATATGTAATACATTTAGATTATATTTAGGTATTTGATTTTGTTATAGTCAAGCTATCTTAGTGTTACTTAAATTTTCTGTTGTTATGAAATAACCTTGGGAAAATGTTAAAATTAATCCAGGTTGGTGATTCACACCTATAATATTGGTTTTTGGGAAGCTGCAGTAGGAGGGTTACTGTGAGTTTGAGTCCAGCCTGGGCTACCTAGTGAGATCTTGTCTCAAAAAAGTAAAGGGTTGAGGGATGTCTTAGTTAGAATTACTGTTGATATCATGAAACATGACCAAAATAAACTTGAGAAGAAAAGGGTCATAATTCACTCACAGTTCTATAACAGTTTGTTATCAAAAACCCTGGGCGCAGGAACTCACACAGGGCAGGAAGCTGGAGGCAAGAGCTGATGTAGAGGCCATGGAGAAGTGCTGCTTACTGACTTGCTCATCATGGCTTGTTCAGCCTGCTTCCTTATAGAAGCCCAGGGATTTCACCACCCTCAATGGGCTGGACCCTTCCCTGTCAATCACTAATTAAGAAAATGCCCTACAGCGGATCTTATGGAGACATTTTCTCAATTGAGGTTCCCTCCTTTTAGGTAATTGTAGCTTTTGTTAAGTTGACATAAAACTAACCAGCACAAAGGAGATTTAATTGTTGAAGCTCTGTTTTAAGTCATTGATAACATTATATTTTTATATTTTAAAAATTCCTTTACAGAGGATTTTAGAAAATGTATAATTGGTGTGTGTATATGCGTGTGTGAGCGTACACACACACACACACACACACGTGCATCACCATATGCAATGCCCATGTAGGTCAGAAGAGGACATTGGATACCAGGAAATGGAGATACAGAGATGTGAGCTGCCATGTGGAGCTGGGAACTGAATCCAGGTGCTCTGCAAGAACAAGTGCTCTTGATTTCTGTGCCGTCAATCCAGCCCAAATAATAAAGAGAATTTAATTTAAAATTTCATATTGTTTAGCTAATATTGATATAATTTTATCTTTTTTTACACTAGAGTAAAGACAAGATTGCGTCTTACAGCAAAATGTCAAAAACTGACCGAAGTGATATGGGCAAGGAAATGAAAGAGAAATCATCTATGAAACGTAAACTGCCTTTTGCCATTAGCCCATCAAGAAATGAAGAGCGAGATTCCGACACAGGTAGAATAATTTATTTTCTGATAAACTCACCATATTCTTAACTATGGTTTCTTTTTACTTTTCTGTGCACCACTCCTCTTGACATTTTGGCTCATAGAGAAAGACTGAGTATTTCAGAGTGGTCATGGGGGCAGAAGTATTTCTGTTTATCATCCAAACTATGGTTTCTAATAGATTTAAAAAAACAATGTCTATATTCCTTACTCTGAATATTTATAATAAATCTCTTAGCATGTTCAGAACTTAGTTTTAGGGGTTCATTTCACTAATGAAAATTGTTCAGTAAGATAAACATTAATATTTTGTATATATGAGAAAAAGATGTTGCATTTTTTTATTGCCTTTTGGACACAGCAAAAAAGTTTAGGCATTTTTGATTTACAAATAAAGCAGAAATATGTAGTACCTTCCAAATGAGGCTAACTGCTTAATTCATAGTTATTTTATTTCTCAAAACTCCAACATGTCAGGGGTCACCAGATGTACTACATAAGGGTGCTAGCTACCAAGCCTGTTACCTAGATTCAATCCCTGGGACCTACATGGTGGAAGGAGAGAACTGACTCTCCAGATGTATGTGCCATGGAGTGCAGGGTGGGTGTCTTAGTTGGCGTTCTGTTGCTGTGAAGTGACACCTTGACCACAGCAACTCTTATAAAAGAAAACATTTAATTGGAGCTTGCTTAGTTTTAGAGGTTTAGTCCAAGCATGGAAGCACACAGGCAGCCATGGTGCTGGAGAAGTAGCTAAGAGTTCTGCAGCTGGGTCCTCAGGCAGCAGGAAGAAAGAGACTCTGGGCTTATAATGGACTTTTTATAGCCTCAAAGCCCACCCCCAGTAACACACTTCCTTTAACAAGGCCACACCTCCTAATCCTTTCAAGTAGTGCTGCTCCCCTGTGACCAAGTGTTCAAATCAATGAGCCTGTGGAGCCATTTTCATTCAAACCACTACAGGGGTCATGGGCACTCGTGCATGCATGCAGATGTTTGTGATTGTGTGTGTGTGCGTGTGTGTGTATGTGTAGATGTGTAGAAGTGCTTGTGGAGGCCAGATGTCATTGTTAACTGTCTTCTTCAGTTGTTTTCCGGCTAATTTTTTCTTTTAAGCTTGAGGGCAATTTTACTAACGTTTGAAAGAATGTCTCCTCCAGCTGGCCACTCCAGCAGGACAGGCAAGCTGTGATCTCAGCAGGCAGTGGGAGGAGGAAATTTTGGTATTTGATCAGTGTTATTACCTGACAAGATAATTTGGCTTCTGTGTAAATTCTGTTTTTCATTTTCATAAGTACAATTTTTCTTCCACATTACCAACTTCAGAGAATTATGACCTTGAAAAGTGATGTAGTGTGATTCACTTTGTGACATAGTAATTAAATGTGACAGAATGAATCAATGGTAGGTAAGGATTTATTTGTGTGGGTTTTTGTCTGTATGTATCTCTGTACCACATGTGTCTGATACCTATTGAAGAGTGCATCAGAAAGAGCAGAACTGAAGACAGTTGTGAGCCACCCTGTAAGTGATGACCATTGAAACTAATTCTTGGTCAGGCGGTGGTGGCACACATCCTTAATCCCAGCACTGGGGAGGCAGAGGCAGACGGATCTCTGAGAGTTCTAGGCCAACCTGGTCTACAAAGGTAGCCCCAGGACAGCCAGGGCTACATAGAGAAACCCTACCACAAAAAACCAAAAGGGGGAAGAAGAAAGAAAGAAAACAAGTCCTTTGGGATAACAGCCAGTGCTCTTACCTGCTGAACCCTCTCTTCATCCTAGCTAAGGATTTTGTGATTTAATGCAATGAGAACACTAGACATAGTCGAGAGTTGATTCAACTCAGCAATGTAAGATGAAACTAGATTCCTCTTAGTCTTTCTTTTCTATCCCCTTTAGTTCTTTTTCCTTAAACATTTTCCCCTTAGAGTTAGTTGCATGCTCAACTTCTTGTCAAAAGGGAGCACGAGAGTGTATTTCTTCCCATGAGACTTGGTCCTTTATTAATGAAATGACCTCCTTAGAAACTGCAACTTCTAGTCAGGCGTGATGGTACCTGCCTTTAATATCACACACCTGGAAAGCATAGATGAGCAGATCTCTGTGTGTTTCAGGCCAGCCTGGGATACATAGAGGACTCTGTCTCAAAAAACCAAGAAACTTTAAATCTGCTGCTATTGATTAGTGTCCTGAACTTGCATGAGAATACTGAAAGCCAAAACCTGATGGTGTTTGTCACTTTGATCATGATTTGGGTATTCCTAATATGAAAGGGAACACAAATATAGGGGAGATGACTTTTATAATGTTATCACTGTTTATAAAGTGTAATAAACTGATGAAATTTTGTACCTTTAATAATTACTAAAAATTGTTTATCTATTTTGAAATAGGGTCTTATTATATATTCCTGGCCAGCCTGGAACTCACAGAGATCCACTTTGCCTCTTCTTCCTGGTTGTTGAGATTAATGGCATAAGCCACTATGCCTGGCATTATTAAAAGTTTTTAATAAATCTAATAAGTATCCACTACCAATTCTACAATTATACTAACTTTTTTTTAAGTCTCATGCCATCCAAGGGAAAGTCATAACACCATATGTCGAAGTACTAGACAGCTGTCTTTGATGCCCTGTATGAGGAGGCTCTTTCTTGACTGCTAAACTAAAAACCTACAGTTGTTTGATGAGTAGTGTCATCAAGACTGTCTTTGTAGACTGCGTTTTTTCTTTTTATATCCTGAATCACTCCTTTATTAAAAGGGGGCCTTCTGATTCTTCATGTTTCTCCAAGATAATCATACCTAGCCAAGACGCCTCCAGTAGCTTACAGATGTCCCAAACTTGAAAGGACGTGGTTTTACTTATGATAGTCCTAATATTCTATAGAGATGAACTAGTAGTGTTATCATTTCAGTTTGCATAAGTATCTAGAAATATCATAATATGATATATAATTGTGTGTGTGTGTGTGTGTATATATATACACATATATATGTAGTCTCCTCTTGGTAACATCATTTACTTGGCACTATTGTGTTTTCTCTTGACATTTAAGGCAGTGTGATTCAAGAAAATTCAAAGAGGCACAGTCTGGTCCCAAAGTCTATGATCCCAAAGTTGTAGACTATGTTAAATTTTGTGAATGAAGCCTTCTCTGTCAGCCAGCCATAGAAATTCACCTTTCCTGAGGTTGTGGATGTTATTAAAGGGCTTACCTTAAAGTGACTCAAGCAATGTGGAGAGAATAACATGTTTTACAAGATGTGTGTGTGTATGTGTGTCTGTATCTGTGTGTTAGTGTCTGTGTGTTAGTGTCTCTGTGTATGTGTGTATGTGACATGAAAGCAGGAGAACTATTTTGGGAGAAGAAAGGGGAATAAAGAGGGTAAGGGGAGAGAGATGAGGCATCACAATTTCCTTTATCTACAGAATATAGATTTAAATACAGACACGTTTCTATGACATAGAAGTAGTAGAGGGAAGAACATGGGGTCATGGCGAACAAATAAAGGGAGGGCCAGTGGAATATTATGGTAGTGTGAACGTTAGCAAAACATAAATTACTTGGGAGGGAGTGGCAGAGGCAGATGAATCTGAGTTTAGAGGCCAGCCTGGTCTATATACTGAGTCCCAGACCATCCTAGGCTATGTGGTGAGACCTTGTCTCAAAAATCATTAAATACGTCAGTGAAGCCAAGTAGTCTATGGAAGTCATTTAAAACCTGGCTTATTTTTATGTGAAATGTTGGATTTTTTTAAAATGTAATTCTTACGTAGTTTGTGTAATACATGTTCATTGAAAGTCTTGTCTTTGAATCAGCTTATCAAGTTGCTTTACATTTGATTAAAGGTTATTTTATTAATGATCCCCTTTTCTTGAACAAGCCTTCTAATTACTAAACAGAAAAGTTTAAAGTTCTCATATATTGTATTCTGTGATTGTTTTCTAATTTGTTTTTCCCCAACATTTGATTAGTCATAATTCTGTGTGTAACAATTATTCTGGAAAGATATATATGTGTCAATAAACCGAGGCTGTGACTATAAGAATAGTAAGTTGTGAGTTAAATGACTTACTATTTAAAAGTAAAAGCAGCTCTGTTTGTATCATCAGAGTTCTCGATAGCTGTCATAAATTGGTAGAAGTCCATATTCTAAGCCTAGATGATAGTTTTGGATGATCTCTGTCTTCATTAGTAAATGCGGCAGTAATTCCTATGACTGGAAATGAGTATAATCTGTGAACGGTCTGTGGTCTAGGATGGTACTGAGATCCTAGATGTTCTTTTGACTTGGGAGTAATTTTGGCCGTCATAGAAAATAAGTTTGATTCATCTTACTCAAAGACAAATTCTAAACAGAATTTGGTGATAAGAACATTGTCTCTCCTATTGACAGAGTTAAACAAATAGCATCAAAAGAGCTATACTTAAACAACATCACAGTGTTATTGGTTTACATTTCTAAACTTTAAGGTACTCTGATTAGAAAACTGAAATGTTACATGTTGGACAAACCTGTATTTTAAATGTCATTTGTTGTTCCTAAATACTATTTTTGAGGTAAAGCCAGTGATACATCATTGCCTAATTAACTGATAGTCTTTTAAAAATATTGTTACATTGAATTCTGCATTTCCCTTGGTATGCTTTTTTCTTTTCTCCTGTCTCTTTTCATTCTGTAGATTCAGACCCAGGACATACAAGTGAAAATTGGGGGGAGAGACTTATATCTTCTTACAGGACATACTCAGGTAATTAGATTATCAGGTGTTCCTGTTTAGCCAGTGGATTTTGTCATGTTTATTTGAGTAGTGTACTATAAGTAACTTGTTTTCAAAACAGTTTATAGATATCTTTGCTAAATTAAATGAATTTATATGAATCCACCAAAATTTTTCAGCTTTAGAGTCTTTCCTAAGAGAGGACGCCAAGGCTCCTGGTCTGCCTTGTTGTAAATCCTTCCCAAGTGTACTCATGTGATAAACGGCATTAGCGTCCTTGTTTAGTCAGGTGATTTCTTCTTTTAAAATAGATATTTAAAAAATAGTATTCACTGAATTCTGTAGTGTTTATTGATTTTTGCTTTACATGCAGAATTTAACCATAAATGTATTAAAATATGGGGTCACCTAGACAAATGCCCCCCCTCATTAACTGTGTTAGAACTTCTCTAGTTAGTTACAGCTTCAGTTGTTTGGGATTCATAATTACTCTAAATGAAAAATATAGGAGAGAAACCCCCTCATTCTAAAATAAAGAATAAAACTAATTGCTTTTGAAATAAGGCCTCATTGTGTAGCTCTGGCTAGCCTAGAACTCTTTGTAGCTCAGGCTGGCCTCAAACTCACAGAGATCTGCCTGGTTCTGCCTCCTGAGTGCTGGGATTATAAAGCATGCTCCATCATGGCAAGCAAGACTAGTTATTTTGACTGATCTTTTCTTTCTTCTTAAAATTAGACTGACATTCATCTTTGAACTTACCAAAATGAAAATCTTGTATAGCCCCTGGGAATTTCTTTCTAATTTTTAGCATATGACACTTAGCTGTAGAAATTGAGCACAAACCTACTGTTTCTATATGTATTTTGTTTATCTTACAAATTTGGGGAACTCTCTAGAGGTGGGGAAGAACTAATTTCATCCTTAAAGTTACCTGAAATCATTGAGGTGATAAGTTCCTTGTGGCTGTGTTTGCTGTGGCATCAGTGTGCCTTTCTAAAGAGGACTGCTGAGCACCAAGGCTGACCCAGGCCTGATGAAGTAGACCATGGTCTGCCTGCCACTGCTGACGAAGGCACAGTCACCTGCTCATAGCGTTTTTAGTACCTGGGCTTAATGGCAGTGCCCCTCTCCCCCAGGATGCAATATTCACACTACAAATGTGATGAGTAAGTTATGCTCACCTGCCTCCATTGTCTTACTTGGAAACTACTTCACTGAGAAATACTTTATTCCTTAATTTTTGAGACACTAATAGGTTTATGAGCCAAGTTTTCCAAGAAAAAGTTTTGTCCCTTCTCTGCGGTAACTTTACACTTAATTGAAAAGTGACAATGTTGAGTGTTGTGTTTATTCTGACCGGAAAAGGAAAAAGCACTGATCTTCTAGAATGTGAGAGAGGCATCTCTGTTCCTGAAGCTCTGAATGCTAAGAAAGGACAGAAAGATTGATTTGATGGAAAGAGCATTTTAATTTTTATTTTGATTAGTATTAGGTAAATTTCTTTCTTTTTTTTTTTTTTTAGGTAAATTTCTTATAGAGTTTTCCTTAACAGTCTTGAAATAGAATTTCAGTTCTGTGGCAGACAGCACTAAATGATGGTATTTGGTTGTACCTGTGTTTAAAGTTTTGACTCATTAGAACAAATGAGTATATGTTTTAGTTACTGAGAAATGGAGCACTTGACTGGAGATACAACTCCATGGTTGAACTCTTACACAGCACGTGTGAAATTCTTAGATTTGGTCTCCAGCTACCCCACCTTCAAAAACAAACAAGCAACCATGAGAACTGTCTAGCTCCTTTTCAGAGAAACAGTTGCCATCACTGTCTACTCAATGCCCAGTCAGACGAGGCATTCAGAGTGTAGATCCCACATAGTCCTGTGATGATTTCTAATTTTACAAACTGTGTAGATATGTGGCTGCATACTTTAGACCCAAGCACTCAGTAGATAGAAGTCAAAAAGTTTGCAAGTTGGAGAGTGCTAGACTGTACAGTGAATCCTGTGTTATTTTGGGATATATAGTTTGGTCCTGTCTCCAAAACAACAACCACCAAAACCACACAAAAAATTAAAAATAATAAATTTGAAATATAAACTTTAGAATATAGTAGTCTGATATTTAACAATTTAATAATTTAATGTAATTGTCTCAAATTTAGCTATACCAGCCACAGTTCAGTTCACTTTCTTTTCCTAGTTCATGTAAAATGTAAATTTTTTGAAGATGATTATGGTAACTCAGAGAAAAAAAACTAGTTTATATTGAATGCAAGTGTAAAATTTTTGTTTAAATATTTGGAATACATCCAATTTGTCTTTTTCCGAAGTACTTACATATTTGATCATTTGATAGTATAATCAAGTATATACACTTTGAGTGTCATCCTTTTTGTGTGTGTAGTGGGGGAAGAGGCAAAGTCTCACTATGTAACTTTAGCTGATTTAGAACTATGAAGATCTGGCTGGCCTTTAACTCAGAAATCCACCTGTCACTGCCTTCCCAGTGCTGGGATTAAAAGCATGCACCACCATATTCAGCATGGAGTATCTATATTTTTTTTAATTATATTAAAATGCACAGTTTTGCAAGTAATAAGCAATGCATCTAGGTGTGGTAATCCACACCTATAATCCCAGCACTCCAGAGGGAGGTAAAGGCGGCCAGCCAGTCTGTCACAGGTTTAAGGTCAGCCTAAGCTACAAAGCAGAAACCTGTCTCAGAAACCACAAGAGGAAAGTACTGGTAGGGGTCTACTCTTGTTGTCAGGTTGTATTTCTTTTCCTAGAAGCATTTTTCAACATTCTCTTAAATTTTTGTATATTAGATTAAATTAAATATTTTGATTCTAGGAGAGAAATACATTCACTGTATTTAAATATTGTTATCAGATGAAAAGCCATTCAAAACAACAGTAGTTGTTCCTCCCTAAACATTAGAAAACAAAGATCTATAGAGAATCATTAAGACAAAGAGTCTGTATTTCAGGGGAGAGAAGTGTTCTCCAAAGACATCTTTAAAGCTTTGTAATAACTTTAGTGATAGGTTAAATATTGTGCTAGATTGGATTTTTGTGAAATCAGTTCATTACTGATGATAGTACAAGAATGATAAAAATGAAAGATAGACATATCAATGAGGTTGTTTTTGTTTTTGTTTGTTTTTAGTAAGTCTTGAAACATTTGGTTTGTTTGGAAAAAATCAGCCATTCAACATCTGGACATAGTAGCAGTTCACAGAATGATTTGAATCATTTGTGAGCAACAAAGTTTAAAATATTAAGACCTCATTTTTCTAGATCATTGCAATACCAGTTTTTTTCTAATTAACTGGAGATGGTATACTGAACCAATCATTAACTTTTTGTGTCTGTAGATAATATTAGATTTTAATTTATTTTTGAAATTTACAAGATTTACTATTATTTAATTTCTGCTAATTTCAAATTTTATTAATTATTTTTGTAGCTTCTTTTTTCAAGTACCTCTAAACCTGAATTTTAAATTCCAGAAATAGGTAATAATCAGACCTTTGATTCACTTTTTCCTGGTATCTGAATTAATTCAGGTGAATTCCTAAAAGAAAAAAGACATCTGTATCTCGTACCTGTACCATCCAGTGCAGCCTGAGCTCATTCCACGTAACTGAGAGTACTTTGTGTTCCTGGAAGGATTTCCGAACAGTTAAAACGGACCTCTGTGGTAGATTGGATCTCTTTGAGAAGGACTTTGGAAATTTCTGGCTCTTTGCAGGATATGTTTTAACTCCTAACGACACAGAATCTTTAGTTGTTCATATTTAACTTTGATTGCTATCATTCCATGTTCAGCTTTCCAGTCATTGCAGGGAAATGATTTGGTGGCTTTTCTTCAGTAATTGTTCTTTTTGTTGAGACTTGTCTTAAATGCTTAGCCTTCTTGCAAGATTGTACAAGTAATTGGTAGAATTAGGACGATAATTGTAAGGCTCATTGGTATTTAGGCTTAGCAATAATGCTAGATACTGTGTGAAAGAGAATTTTACACTTGGCCTTTTGTCCACAGATTCAACTGATTACAGATAAAAATACTGAGAAAAAAACTACAGAATTTTTTCTTGTCATTATTCCCTAAACAATGCAGAATAACAATTATTTCATAGCCTTAATATAACATTTCATGTTATAAGTAATTTAGACATAATTCAAAGCGTATGAGAGGAGTCACATGGGTTATATACAAATCCTGAATTTTATCTTAGAGAGTTGAGCAATTGCAGGTTTTATTACCCATAGTACTAGAAACAATCCTTAGAGATAGCAAGAAACAACTCTACTAAGGACTATTTGAATTGTTGTTAAAGATTTTACACTTAAATAGAACAAACAGTCAAAATTAAAATGTTCCTAGTAGTAAATTTTTAACAGAATCAAGAATATATTTTTCTAGAACTTTCAGGAAAATATTGCTTATATAAGTCTAGCAGTTTTGTCTGGCTACCTCTAGTATACACACATTGTCCATATGCACACATAGCATTTACCAAAGAAGTTGTCTTGAATATTTATATTTGTTTCCAATTCTTACATATTTATTAATCGTTACAGAGAAAGAAGGTCCAGAAAAGAAGAAAACAAAAAAAGAAGCTGGAAGTAAGAAATCCACCCCAGTTAGCATTCTTTTTGGTTACCCACTCTCGGAACGAAAGCAGATGGCACTTCTAATGCAGATGACAGCAAGGGACAACAGTCCAGGTGATTGACATTTATAGTAATTGAGTTAATGTGTCTTAGTTGGCCTAGAATCTGGGTAACTTTCTTTAACAATTCTTTTCTACTAATTTGAGTTCTTATCCTTTATTGAATTTAATCAGCACTATTCATAATATCAGTTTTTAATTTTCTTGTTGTTTGTATGACATTTCATTATTGTATCCTTCAGTGGGATTACAAGGTCTGTAAGAGCAGGAATCCTTTGTACTTACTGGGCATTAATTAAATAGTTACTAAATAAAACAAGGGATTTGAAATTGAATAATCAGCTTGAAAAATTTGCAAGTGGGATTCTATTTTATTTTTTTGAATAGGGCTTATTTTAAAATTTAAGGATTTTTTAGAAAATTATTTCTTTTTTAAAAAAGAGAAATTTTATGTGCATTGGTGTTTTGCCTGCATGTATGACTCTGTGAAGATGTCTCATTGGAGTTACAGACAGTTGTGAGCTACCATGTGGGGAAGAGAAGCCATTACTCTTAACCTCTGAGCCCAGAAAATTACTTATTTTTTTATGAGTGTGTGCATGCCTTTGTATGTGTGTGTAACTGACCATTTGTGTGCACCACATGCATACAGCAGCCAGTGGGGATTAGAAAAGGGCGTCAGGCTGGGTAGTGGGGATACACACCTTTTATCCCAGCATCAGGAGGTAGAGGCCAGCTTGGTCTACAGAATGAGTTCTGGGACAGCCAGGGAAACCCTGTCTTGAAAAACCAAAAAGAAAAAAAAAAAACAGGTGTCAGATCCTCTGGAACCTGAGTTACAGACTGTTGGGAGGGGCAGGTGTGTGCTGGGATCTGAACCCAGGTCCTGTGCAGGAGCACCCGGTGCTCTTAGCCACTGAGCTATCTCTCCAGCACTAGTTTATAAAAAATGAAATTTGCTATTTTGATTACTCCCATTGTTTCTTTGTTTTTTTTTTTTTTTTTTAAAATCTTTATCTCTCCCATTTGAGGCTATGTGTTCTCTAATATAGGTATTTGAACATTTATTTACCTATTATGTGTATATATGGTCAGAGGACAGCTTGTGGGAATTGGTTTTCTCCTGACATGTAGAAGCTAGGGATTGAACTCAGATTGCTAGGCTTGGTAGCAAGCACTTTTATTCTCTGAAACAACTCATTGTCCCAGCATTCATTATTTCTATCCTAACTTGGTAAAGATTGGACAAACAAAAGATGTGCTAAAACATTTTTATAGTTCTCTGAAAAGGAAAGTTTTTCTCATCCTTGATGCTTATCCCCACCCACTATAGCTAGCTTTTCACTATTGGGGAGTCTCATTCCTATACTCAGGGATTTTTCTGGGCATAAACACGCAGATCAGTTTTGTCTTGTCTTGGCTGTATATGCCAAGTGAGTTAGTCAACTGCCAAGTCACATCTTCAGCCTTTCAGTTTGAAATAGGTCTCACTAAGTTGTCCTTGCTGACTGACCTTGAACTTCATAGCCAAGCCAGACCTTTGGTAATTTTCCTGCCTCAGCAGTCTGCTGAGTGTCTGTTATTACAGGTCTATACCACTAGACCAAGTCAGAGATGTATCTTTTGTTGTTGCTGCTTGTGTGGGTGTTTGCTTTTTTTTAAAATATAAATATGATTATACTACATTAATCTACAACTAGTCTTTTCATTTAAGGATAGTTGCTAGTCAACTTTATTATAATGTGTAAAACTAGAGTGGAAAGCTTTTGAAGTTACAAGTTGTTAGCTATCATGAACATGTACTTAGTTTTGGGTTTACAACTTTACCCATTGATAGATCCTTTGGTTTATAAGAAAGTCAACAAGCCATTTTCTTAAATAATTTAACTGTCATGATTATGAAATTTATTCAGCACAATTTTTTAGTTCCAGTGTGTAGCAGGATGTCTTGTAAGTAGTTTGATGCTGAATAAAGTAGAGTTCTTACTCTTGAGGAGTCTATGTTTTAGAAATAGCCAAATGGAAACATTGTTGGTAAGACACTGTACTTAAAATTCCCAAAGCAAACCTTTGATTTTCTGTTTCAGAAAGGATGCTGATGCTATAGAGTTCTAGCTGTGTTTTCTTGCAAGACAGTGAAAAATTACATTTCATAGATTTTTTCCCTTCTTAGAGCAGGTGTTTAAGTACTTGTATATTTTCAAAAGTAATTGCTTAAGAACCCATTTTTTTTTCACCCAGTGGTTATAAAATTGGTAGGGTGAGGGTAGAGGGCTTTGGCTTTTGATGTACAGGCTAAATCAAGAATAAAAAGATGTGAATTGGCCTGGAAAGATGTCCTAGTGGTTGAGAGCACTTAGCTCGCAACCACTTGTAACTCCAGCTCCAGGGCCTGATGCTTCTGGAATCCGAGGGTACTTGGAATCATGCACGAGCCTCCCCTTCACCACAGTTTAAAATAATAAAAGTGTTAAAAAAAAGATGTGAATCATAGCATAGCATAATTTTGACACATCCTTTTCTAACTGCTTTTGTTTCCTACAGAGCTTTGACTTATTTCTCATAGTTAAATAATCTGTGAATTGAATAGTGCCTTATATCAGGAAAGAACGCTAGTGTTTTTAGTCAGGGCTGTGAATGCCAGCCTCCAGAGTATTTTCATCTTGATTTTAATATTCTACAGCATGTCCGGAAAAAAAATCATTGTATTCCATCAAATTATTCATTAAGGAAACGTACATGTATTTGATATTCCATTATCATTTTATACCTTATTTTATGAATTGGAAGAAAGGAAAAGCATTTCTCATATTGGCTTGTTACCATCATATTTGACTTGTTTTTTTCTTTTTCTTTTCTTTACTTTTGTTTTTTAACAAGGGTGTAGCCCTGGCAGTCCCAGAACTTGCTCTGTAGCCTAGGCTGGCTTCTCCTGCCTCTGCCTCCCAAGTACTGGGATTAAAGGCCCCACTTCCTGGCAATTTTTAGATTATTAGGTTAAGACAGTATTCCCTGTGTTCTAAGAAATAGTTATGTTATTATTAAGGACTTTGCAAGAATGCAAAAATCACTTAGAACTGCTTTTCCCTTTGTATCTTCCTGTTTTGAGATTGTACTTTAATTACAACATTTCTCCCTTCCCTTTCCTCCCTCCAGACCCTTCTATATACCCTGCCTGCTGTTCTTCAAAGTCACGGGCTCTTTCTTCAGCAGTTAATGCATAGCATATGAATATGTGTTTTTATATATACATATGTATGTATGTATGTACTCCAAAATATACCCATCGAGTCTATATAATGTTACCTGTATATGTTTTCATGGCTAACTCTTTGTCACTGGATAACTGATTTATGTGCCTGGGGAAGGCCAACTCTTCTGCTTCCAGCTTTACACAGTGACCTCTAGTTCTTTGTATAGGGTTGAGACCTTGTGTGCTGATCTCCTTCCAGTTGGGAATGTTCGTTGGTATTCTTGTTTAGCACACAGATGGGTATAGCTTCCCGTGTCAGGAAACACAGTCTTACAGCAAATCCCTGACTAGACTTTCAGAATCCTTCTGCCCCCACACTTCCTGGGCCTTAGGTACGGGTGTATTTTGTAGATATATCCATTGGGACTGGGCTCCCCAACTCAACTTTGATAGATCATGGTTTCTTTTATGTAACGGCGTAAGCGAATGCAGAGGGATTGTAATGAATGCAGACAGCTTTAATGGGGAAATAGACTTACAGAACCACCGTTCCTGCGGAGACCAGGAAAGCAGAAGCAGCAGCTGGGAGCACGCTCGCCAAATTTATAGGCAAACATTAGCCTGAGGTGAACACGCCCCCTAAGGGGTGGGACTTATCCCCACATCTCCCCTTTTTGTCTAAATAAGACAGAACTAAACCAAATACAACTATATACAATAATAACAAATAATAAATATAACAAACAATATTGAGAATCAAAAGTTTTGTTAAACATTCTATCTCAAGGAGTCTAAATAATGTAGAGAGTAACTACAATTATATAACCTTCAACTCTGTCAAAGATCTGAGAAGAGAATAAATATTACTTAACAAACGAGATATATCCAAAATGTGCAACAATTGACAGAGACAATTGACTACCTGGGCAATCACCCAAAGTCTCGTTTGCAATGTTGAGTCAACCAACTTTGGCTAAGGCCTAACATAACTGACATACCATTATTAAAGGCAAGGAACTTTTCAAAACTATCTTACCCTGTCTTGGCAGGATATGACAGTCCTGTTGTATCCATTGATGCACGCTCTGTATCTCTGTCAGTGGTTGAGGTATGGGCTTTTCTTAACCCAAAGGCCAGTTCTGCCAAGAAGACAAGCTCCCAGTGGAGTGTCTTTAGTGCTCAACATTCTCTCGGTAATAGAGCGTTGTTGCCAGGAGCAATTGTGTCTCACTATCATGAAACTCTTGAGTTATATTAAAGGCCATTTTCTACAGCTCTTCGAAGAGGTTGAAGATTATCTATCTATACTGAGTATAATCTCTATATATCTAAAGAACCTGATTAGTTTAATTATAAATGACAAACTTAGATGACTATTAATCTATATAATTCTCAATATCTATCTAACTTAAAGACTAAGACAATAAACAACTGTAACAGATGAGGATAATGACCTTCAGATATAAACACTGTACAAATATACATTGCAATAAGGTAAATATATATCAATACACAAACATATAAGTATCTTAATCAGAGGTAGAAATGTACACTGCAATATGGTAAATATATACAATATATATATCAATACAATATATGTCAATACTTAAAAAATGTTTTAAACAGAGGTAGAAACATGCATGCATACAATAGTCAGTATAATTTAACTTTGTATCAATATACAAGAATCGATACCAATATATTTGTCTAAAAACAGTAACTCACAATTATAAATCTATTATTCCATCATCTTTTTTTTTTTTTCAAAATGATCCCTAAGCTTATAAAATTCCTCCCCCAGCCTCCCATCCCCTAATATGATGTCCCTAAACCCAGGGGCAAACTTTACTGGGAGAGGGGAC